CGCGTCGGACCCCCATGGCCCTCACGGGGGTGGGTCCGGCTCGGAAGAGAGAGCCGCGGCAAGGACGGTGCCCCGCGCCTTCCCTCCCCCTCCTCCTCCATCCCTTCTCCTCCTCCTCCTCCTCCTCCTCCTCCTCCTCCTCCTCCTCCTCCCCCTCCTTCCCTTTCTCCTCCTCCTCTTTCTCCTCCTCCTCCTCCTCCTCCTTTTCCTCCTTCTCCTCCTCCGCTGCACTTCCTCATCGGCTCGTCGGCACCCCGGCTCGGCGCTTCATCCTGCCATCCTCCGCCTCACGCCGTGGAGCAGCTACGTTGCGGGTGGTCCCTGAGATCCTGTCGTTGCAGGTTTTTTTTCGTTGCGGGCGTTCTGCGGCGGCGAGCGAGGGGGGGATATGAGAAGCAGAAGGCCTTCTCAGAAGGCCCTCCGGACTTCTGAGAAGTTTTGCTGCTTTCGGGAAGGATTAGACAATTTCTCAGAAGGCCGGGGACTACCGAGCCTTCTGAGAAGGCCCGCCCCTTCTCACTTCCCCCCCAGCCTCGCCACCGAATTTTCGCCCCGTTTCGTTCCTTGGGACCCTCACAGACCGATCTGGCGCCGAAAATGCCGTAGAAAAACGGGGTCCGGGGCTCCGGTCGTGAATTGTTGTGTTGCGATGTTGTGATTTTTGTTCGCAGCGTCGGATCTCATGAAGTCTCACGCTGTGGAGCAGCTTCGCCATCGGTGATGTGCAGTGCTTTCGAGGGTGAGGTGCTCAGTGGCCCTGCGCTGCGACAAGAGGAGCCCTCCACTCCCGCCTCCCCTCCCCCTCGTCCCCTCCGCCCTTCCCTCCGCCCCCTCCCTCCCTCCTCCCCCCCCCCTCCCCCTCCCTCCACTCCCGCCTCCCCTCCCCCTCGTCCCCTCCGCCCTTCCCTCCGCCCCCTCCCTCCCTCCCTCCCTCCCCCCCCTCCCTCCTCGCCCCCCTCGCCTTCCCCGTCCGACTTCCCCGTCCGCCTCCATCGGCGCAGTCGCTCTCTCGTTCTCTCTCTCGTTCTCTCCGTTCCTCCCCCATCTCTCTATATCTGGTCTTCTCTCTATTTCTCTGTCTCTATATAACCCTCTCTCTCTGCCCGTCCCTCTGTCTCTATCTCTCTCTCTCTCTCTCTCTCCCTTTTTCTCTCTCTCTCTCTCTCTCTCTCTTTCTCTCTCTCTCTCTCTCTCTCTCTCTCTCTCATACTCTCTACTCCCTCTTCTCATCTCGCTCCCCTCTCTCCCCTTCCTCCCTCCCTCCCTCCCTATCTCTCTCTACCCGCCCTCTTCTCTCTCTCCTCTCAGCTCTTCTTTTTCCTCCTCGTCTTCCCTCCAGTCACTCCCTCTAGTCATGCATCTCCTACTTTCACCTCCTGGCAACGATTGCTCCACTGCTCTGTCCTCCCGGAGCTCTGGGTCACCACTGATGCCGACCTCTTGCGATTATCTCGGGGATGGACAGACCTCCTACCCTGACACGTCGATTGAGGAATTGGCCGTTTTCGGTTCGCGAGGGGGTGGCGCGGCCGTCATTTTTACGGGTCCAGGTCCGTCGGTTTCGGTCCCAGGTCGTTTTCACTAAGGGGAGATCTACTAAAGGGAGGTTTGCCCACCGCCGATTATCCAGTTGCGTTGCCGCGCGGATTCGTCACCGCGCTTGGGCGGCGCCTCGGGCAGGGTGGGCTTTGGGGTGTCAGAGGCTCGAGAAGACCGCCACTTGCAGACGGAGGGCGGAGAGCAGCCAGCTAGCTG